TTTATCTTGAGAGACGTAATCCACAACACCCCCATCAATGGTTTTTAGTCGGCAATTTGGACCCTTAGTCGGCAAATTGGACCCTTTTAGACTAGTTAGTCGGCAAATGTCAACCCTTTCGATATAGGTTAGAAAGTCAGCAAATGTCTTCATGGCAGTCGGCAAATTTTGGAAAACGAGGACCTTTTTTTTTTTTTTCAGTCGGCAAAAGTTGTAATGGCACCCCCCCCCCACGTCACACCTACTCGCGCCGGCCCTGTGTGTGTATATATATATATATATATATATATATATATATATATATATATATATATATATATATATATATATATATATATATATATATATATAATATATATATATATATATATAAAGATAATACAATTAAAAAATGCAGAACTATCGTGGTCAAATTTTTAAATTTTAAGGACAAATCAACAGTGCTTGGCAAATATATAAAGACGAAACTTTGGAATCAAAGAATATATGTGAACGAAGATTTCAGCGAAAGGACAACCGAATTGCGAAAGAAATTGTTTACGGCTGCAAAAGATTTACGAATAAAAGGTAAATATGCAAAGGTTGTTTATAATAAGTTAATAACGCGCGATTAAAGGAAATTCTTTTATTTTATGGTTTTCTAAAATGGTAAAATGGATTCCAATAATTTAAACGACTTTGAATTAAGTTATAATTTTTTCCGAACTGATGAGTTTTTATTTAATAACCAATCAGATCCGGACTTAAATTACTTTTGTGAAGCACATGCTTTACAAAGCAACTGCTCCTATTACTATGCCGACGAAATAAAAGAGTTTCTTAACTGTAGATATTTTAACACTTTTCATATTAATATAAGAAGCATATCAAAGAATTTTGAAAATTTCTATTTAAGCATGAAAGAATCTCTTAATATTTTTAGTTTAATTTGCATGTCTGAAACCTGGTGTAACTCTAATAACTCTAATTTGAATTCAAGTATTTTTTTACCAGGTTTCAATATAATTTCTTTGGATAGAAAAAATGGAAAGCGAGGCGGAGGTTTAATAGTTTATATTAGAGAATATTTGCAGTATATTATCAGGTCTGACATGAGCAATTCTGATGACGATAATGAGGTCTTAACAGTTGAAATCCAAACAAAAAAAAAAAACAAAAAATTTAATTATAAGTTTTTGTTATCGCCCACCTTCGGGCAGTATAAAAAATTTTAATTTATTTTTAAATGACATTTAAAAAAAAAGCATTTGTGAAAATAAATTATACTACTTAATAGGTGACATTAATTTAGATTGTTACCAATACCACACTAATTATGGCGTTAAAAAATTTTACAACGAGTTATTTGAACTCGGTGCTTTTCCCATAATTAACAAACCAACAAGAATTTCTCCTACATCAAAAACCTTAATTGACAATATTATAACAACTGATGTTTTCAATAAATCTCTAAAAAAAGGCATCATTAAAAGTGACGTCTCGGACCACTTCCCTATTTTTTTCTCTATTAATATCGACGCAGATATAATATCTCAACAAAAACAAACTTTTAAAAAACGTTTTTTTTCTAATGATAATTTAAAAACATTTAAAGAACAATTATCTTATCTTCATTGGAAACAAATAGATACCTGTGCTGACGCTAATTTAGTTTATAATACGTTTTTTAAAACGTTTTATGAAATATACGATGCTAATTTTCCAAAACAAATAGTAAATAAAAAAGCTAAAAGTTTAATGTCACCTTGGATCACAAAAGAACTAAAAAAATCCTCTAAAATTAAACAAAAATTATACGTAAAATATTTAAAGACAAAAACTGAACAAAACAAAGTTCTCTATAAAAAATACGCTAAAGAATTTGAAAGACAGAAAAAAAAAGAAAAAAAAAATTACTATTCTAATTTGCTTGATAGAAATAATCTTAATTCTAAACGTACGTGGGAAATTCTAAGAACTCACTGGCATGCAGAAATTAAAAACGAGCTCATTGCCTAAAACTATTAAGATTAATGAAGAAACATCATTTGATCAAATTGCAATAGCTAACAAATTAAATGAATATTTTGTATCAGTTGGTCCTAATCTGGCCCAACAAATTCCTATCTTGAAAAACAAATTGAATAATTATGCTTTTCCAATAACTTCGTTCTTAAACTCCTTTGAGTTATCCTTTGAGGAATTTGAACTTTCTTTTAAAAAGCTTAAATCTAATAAATCAGTTGGTTATGACGATATTTATTGCAATGTTATTATCGACTCGTATGGAGTCATTAAAGATATTCTATTTCAAATTTTCAATAAAACAGGGTATTTTCCCCGACAATTTAAAAATAGCCAGAGTTTCACCAATATTTAAAGGGGGGAATTCAACCAATGTTTCAAATTATCGCCCTATTTCGATTTTGCCTGTTTTTTCTAAAATTTTAGAAAGAATTTTATATAATATAATTTTCAATCATTTATCTTCAAATAATATACTGTATCAATATCAATACGG